ACTCTGCAAAAAACGTCATGACAAAAATTTATCTATCTCTTTTAGATTCTGAGATATTCGTTAAAAACTAGCCAATGGTCAAAATCGACGTAACCTGGTTTACCGCTCCGCTACTGAATTTATAGAAAATCCGAGTATTTTTGGAAAAATGCGATGATGTTCTAAATTTTTCCAAAAAGTTGTAGAATTTTCCAGAAGTTTCTACGTCGCATAATGCTGCATGTAATATTGTAGTGCAATACTTTTTTTTTCAACATTGCATTGTGTTAAAAAAAAACCTGGAAATTTTCAAAAAGTTCAAAAAATTCCCAGAAAATTTTGCGATTATTTATGATGCATCCCCTTATATGCAACTTAGCGTAATAATCTACAGCCTATGTTAGCACTATAACTAAACTATAAACAATGAAGATCCCGTTGAAATCTGTTCAGTCGTTTTTGCGTGAATCCCGATTTAAAAAAAGGTAACAGGTTCATTATACATAAGAAGATTCATTCTCAGATCTTGCTAACAGGATATAATTCTGCAAGTAACGTGTTAATGGGAAAGGACTAGAAAATCGTTCGTCAATTACAATAGAGTCGCTATAATGGTTGTAAAAAAATATAACAAAAAGCCGTGAGGACCTTTCGATCGGAATCCTAATAAGAACATAATTCCAGGTTTGGCGTGAACAAATTGACAGGACGACGCGTTTCCCGTTGACGCGAATTACAGCCTCGCTATTCTGCCATTGACTTCAGCATTGTTGGTACAAATTGGTACACGCCCTGGCCCCCGTCGGGCAATCCGCCTGTTTTTCATCTCATGTCCGTTATTCACCCTTTTTGTATATCATGTTGAGCTCTTTCAATGTTTCACTCTCATTTCTGTTATTTGAATTATATATTCCGCATCGAAACAGAGGCGTCACGTCCGCATAAATCAGTAATATTTAAAATGCTTAATAACTAATTATCGTTGGGCGAGCTTTCACTGCGTGTGTCGGGGGCCATTCTTTTGCCTAGGGGAGTCTTTTTTGCGTTAACAGTGAAACAATTTGGATACTCTGACACGTGGCAACGAAACCGCGGGTGGCTAGTAATGAGTGTTAGTTCCAGTAACTGTTTTTTTTTTGTTGCAGTGAAGACTCTCATCCCGAATTTTTCAATTTTAGATTATCAAACCTAAAACTGTAAAATATGCAGGGTATCTCATAAGGATGTGTGGAGCTTTCAGATGGTGAATAAAATTTATGGGAGTTGAGTAATCATTTGTACATACATTATGCCGACATCCTTTTTAACCCTAGTCTGGTCACCAAACGCGACCCTGCGATTGGTCACCTCTGCGGGGATTCCCCGCCGTGTTATTTAGGCTTTAGCGTTGCCGAATTCACTCTACACTGCCCGGGCACGTTTAGCGAGTTTCTGGCAACGTCGCGTTATGGGCAATTTCATTTAACATGGGAAAAAATAATTCATCTGTCCGAAGTAATTTGTTTTCTTTCGGAATTGTGGGAAATATGTTGCTCTAAAAACTACTACAATTTTTTAGACACTTCAATTGACAAAGTCAAATTTTTTTTAATTTTTCCAGGTAGACTGTCAATTGTAATTAAAGAAAACCGACGTGCGGCGGGGTTTCCCTCGTAAGGGTGACTAATCTAGAGTTAAAGATTTCAATCCTTGTGATTTTTTTCAGCACATCCGGAAAGAAAGGAATGTCGTTCTCAACTTGATTTTAGTGGATATTGTACACGGTTCAGGGTTTTTTCTATATAATGTCGTCTAACAAATTACATTCCTAGGAAAATAAATTTTTGAATAAAAAAAGGAACTTCTATCTAAGAAAATCTCCAATCGTCATTATGAGAAATATTCTAATTTTGATAGGAACGAGAAATTTTTTTATCTATTGCAGATATTTTATCCTTTAACATTACGAATTTTTGTATATTCATCATAACTCGCTTTTTTTTACTCCGGCGGGAGGGGCGAGTGTTTGATCGGATCACTCGCTTACATTGTCGGCGCCCTAAGTCGGCGTGAGTTCTCCCTAATGAGGTCGGGAAAGTATGGAAAAGAAAATTATTTTTAATTCGTAAAGACAAATTGTTTTAAGGATTAAAATTTTCTCAATGGTCAAAGAACCATGAAGGTCAAACGAAAGAGGTAAGTAGGATAATCACAACACGTATGGAAAAATTCAATAGAAAACCTACCAACTTCGCTAGAAAATTCCATTGGAATTCTATAGGAATTCTGTGGGGGTTTCTATAGGATTTCTATTGGAATTCTATTGAAAAATTCTATTGGTTTTGTGCGCTGATTCTATTGAATATTCAATAAAAAAAAGTCAATAGATTTCGATTTTCTGTTTGAATTTATCTTTTGCGATTTTTTCTATAAGAATGCTGGGGCATCAAGTTTTTTCCACTGGCATTCTGCAATGCAAAACAAAACAAAATCCAGCCAAAAAAATTTAGAAAATTTGTGCCCAGTAATTCTAATGAAAAAAATCTAAGGGAAAAATTCAAACAGAAATTGGAAATCTATTGACTTTTCCTTATTGAATACATGGAGAGAAATGTTCAGTTAAAATTACGGAACTCACAGTTCGTTCGCCGATTACGGAATTGACTTAGAGAATTTAAGTGACGGTGTCATAATTTTTCACAGGAAATTCAGGTAAAAATTATGGAACGATCTGGAGAAATTCCGTGATTTTAGATAAAAATTACGTGACAGTTCCGTAAAATTTCCCACAACCACATTTCGCTCCGAAATTACGGAAAAGATTACGTAATTTTTATTGAATATTCCTCTCCGTATATAAAATAAGATCAGCGCAAAAGACAAATAGAATTTTTCAATAGAATTCCAATAGAAATTCTATAAAAACCCATGGAATTCCTATAGAATTCCAATAGAATTTTCTAGCGAATTCGCTAGGTTTTCTTTTGAATTTTTTTATGCGTGAAAGGCCGATTGATTATAAATCGATTGAATAATTAACAATCTCTGCCGATGGCGATGGCTGTGTGGTCAGAGCACGGGGTTGGCATGCGGACGACTCGGGTTCAATTCCCAGTGGGGGGCCAAAATGATTTTTTAACGCTCTGACTTCCGCTTCTGATTCATTGTCCGAGCGGGACGACTATACACTGATAGAATGATTCATTTATTTCAAACGAGATTCGTTAACTATTAACGAATGGTAGAGTTCAATACGACCAAATGGATATTCATTAATAGTTAACGAATAGTTCACTTGAATGGCGAAAGTCAAGTCAAACAAGGCTCTTCAAATATACATTCGTTAACTATTAACGAATGAACATTTGGTGGGACCGAATAGACCCTAACCTCCAACCAAAATCCATTC